TTTTCTTTTCAATACGCACGAACTATATTACCAAGATTTTTTATTTAGCAATGCCCGAAGACACAGTAAATTATGTTTGTTTTTATTGTATGTGTGCATAATTCCACCAATCATACAGATTGTGTCCTATTTAAAACCTCATTAAATTCACGGCATCGTCGATATATTTATAGTCCTAAATAGAAAACGCCACATACGAGAACCTGTCGTAACTTTCACTGCGATGATAGAGTAGCTACTGCTCATTCGCATTCATGACGATAACTATATGGCTGATAATAAAAACAATTCCAGAATGCCAAAACATCAATCGCGCATGCATAATGTACACGCATATACAGGGTGGTCCACTCAAATCGAATATCTTAAATATCTCACTTATTTTTGATGATACAAAAAAATGTCTAAGGAAAAAGTTCTTAGTTGTCCACGAATTTTTAAGTTGTGAGTTTCACTTGAGAGTCTTATTAATTTATTAACTTATCAAACGTTTATGCTTTTCAACACAAAAATTTATTTAAGGAGATGTTCAAAATGATGTCCTCCGACTTCAATACATTTTTGAATACAAAACATAATATTCTTGCCCCTTCTATCATTTCTGAATTTAAATTTACACATGCGTCTAAAATGCGCTCTCACATGTTTTCCCGTGTAGTTTAATGTTTTTTAACATTTACCAGAAAAAAAGATCTAGAAAAGAAATAATAGATATATAAGATCTCCTTAAATAAATTTTTGTGTAATTGCATTTAAAAAAATTATCTTGATCTTAAAATCTCTGAAAAAATGACCTAGAAAAAGAAAACTTTTTCTGTTATCATAAATGTCTCCTTAAACTTTTTTCTTAGATATTTTTTTGTATCATTAAAAACAAGTGAAATATTTAAGATGTTTGATTTAAATGGACCGTCTTGTATAAGATATTATACATTTAATTGTTTTAATCATCAGTCGAACAAATCAACTATAAAAAAGTGATGTACGGAAGCGTTGCTTTTTAACGCTGTGTATAAATTGTTTTTAAGAAGATAGAATATATGTAGTGACATAAAAATACATTTATGAGACTAAATCGTTGAAATCACCGAGATAGTTTTGGAGACTTCAATGCGTCCGGAGATTTCAACGACCGCACATCTGCTGAACAGACACATATAACTACGTCTTCAGCACACGTTAAGCATTTTTTTAAAGAACAAATACATAAAATTTGTATGCTTCGAAAATATTTATAAATTATTAGTTGAAATATAAATTTAAAAAATGATTATATAATATAATGTATTACAAATGAAGAAAATTTTTGATTTATTATTGTTAAAGAAGATACGAAGCGTAATAATTGCGTGAATAATTGGCTGTCAAATAAATGAAAGAAATTTATGAACAAAAGAAAGAATTTCTTTTTGAAAAAGAATAAAAAAACGGGATTTTTCATCATATATCAGTATTTTGAAGATCTTTTCTTTTTCTTTTTATTGTGCGCAGTTTATAACTTCAGTGTTAAATAACTTTTTTTTTCAAAAATTCAACCAATATTTTTTTTCTTTTTACCCTCTTTAAATCTCGAATTGAGATTTAAGGTACTTTTGATATAAAACCAAGGAAATTTCTTGTCCTGTAATCCACAGTAATCAGTTTCATAAAAAAATTATTTTTAAATTTTGATGTAAATAAACCTTCTCTTTTTTAAGAATTCAACAATTTTTTTTTTTCTGTATTACTACAAGTTAATAGTTGTACTAGTATGCATTGATTTTCCTGCTTCAGAAAAGCAGGCATTATTGAAATTGGGAATAGTAAATCTGGTAAATAGGGAATATAACCATTCTTTTTCTAATTATTAAATTTCCATAACATAAAAACATAAATAAAATAAGTTATAATAAAATGTATTATAAAATCATGAAATAATGATAAATTATACAATACATTTAATAACTATTAGAAAAACCGTTAGAAAACGATATTAATTTTATCGTTGAAAAATAATAGCATTGTCCCATTTACCGAATATATACTTTGATTAATTCTAAATCTGCTCGCTCGTAACGAGACGTTATACGCTTAGAAGGATAGCGTTCGTATTATGAACAAACGCCGAAGATTCGCTTCGCTAACCTGAAGATTTCATTAAAAGTAATCGGACCGAGCATCAATCGACACGTTATGATGATAATTACGAATTTTCGTTATGAGAACGCACTACGAGAAGCGTTCTGCGTCGTAGTATGTATGGACATTAAGGCACAGAGCGGCGACAACGGAACCGCGAATACAGCAAGCATAGTATAACATAGGTAAGTGTGCTTGTGGGTCAGTGGGACAAGAACTGTTTGCCACCATCGCAGTCACAATGAACAGTCGCCGCCGCAGCCATCGCTCTGCCGGGTTAAAGTAAAATCGTACTTATGTACATTATATAGATCGGAGCACCAGAGCACGCACCATTGTTCTTGAACTTCTGCGCTCACGCACGAACGATCTACGCACGACAAGCTGTAATACCCGCATTGCACCGAGGAGGCGTCGACAAACACGTGGCGATATTCGTCTGCATAAGGTATCATAGATGGATATGCACGTTGGTTCTATTGTACTTCTGTCTTTTTTTCGAGATTAGCATTCATCTAACATAATTCTGTCATGAATATGATAAAATGCGAGGAAAATCATGCGCGCGGGCGCTTATTGACCCATATACATATAATACATACTAAGAATCAATTTATTCTCTTAAAAACAATTTTTCCAGTAACATATAAAAGTTTATAAAGTTAAGAAAAGAGGATGCTTAAAACGGCCACTTTAAACTCTTCATTTTCAATTCATGAAAGTAAAATTGTTATTTTGTGTAATTTTTTATCATACCAATCGATGCCGAGAAATTGATAACGTGATAAAAAAAACTGAAATAGTGGCCTATTGCATTAAATATAGATGATTAAAATATCATTGAATATGACAAAGCAAAACTTATACGATGTTAATATATAGCATAAATGTTTTATAAGAACTCGTCTGGCCTTTGGCGGAAATACACAGTGCAACAGCGAATGAGTTCGTTGCACCCTTTTGCGACATTGTATAATTACGACCGCCGCCGCCGTTACGTTCTACGAACATCGTGCAAAAATGCGCGATATCATTGGGGAACATTCGACACACCGCGCTGAACGGAGTTGCTCAATAATAAGTTTCCGTGGGCATGACGATTTCTGTCGACGTGCTTGACCCATGCAACTTTAAACAATTAGATATGTATTTTGACGGAATTGTGAAATCGGGAATTGACCAAGGCCATATCTTTTTATAATCTTAGATTTTTTAAATTATGCAATTAATGTAATTATGTAATACACACATATTAATTAATTGTTTTATCACATATTATTATATACAGCGAATTTATGATTTAATCAATAATTCATTAAGAAAAATTATTATACTTTAACTTTTATATCTTCTATTATTTGTTGTGTGTGTGTATTTGAAATGTCCACATCATTATCATTTTCAACTAATTTGAAAAAATAATCAGGTAAATTTGTGTGCATGTGCGCGTGTGTGTGTGTTTAACTGGAACTACATTAATTGCATTCTTTGTATTTTTCCGCTTAAGAAGCTTAATAGAAAATCACGATAAGAATTTATAAATGGTTTCTAGATATTTAAAATTTCATTAAGCCACTAATGACTAGGACATTAACAGGAACGGTGCTATCATAAAAGCAGGCAGACGAATTTAAGGGGGAGAGAGGGGGGAAGGGATTGTTTGGTAGAACTGTTGTGCGAGGACTATACAGTTATTATAGGTACTATTCTAACGGTTTTACTTGGGATTTCGGGCATTTAGAAACGAAGTCCGCAGGGCCTGTATACCCTGCGGCATCTTAACATTCGACCGACGAACAGAGAAAATCATAATGTAAAATGTAGTGTGATCGTGACTTCCTGGACTTGTATTTGATTAAAAACATGATAAAATCAAGAATAGAAAAACATCGAAATTCAACTGACAAATTATAATAAATTACAAAAGCAGAAAATATTATGTCCCAATATTTTCTCATGCAGATTTTTAAAAAATTAATTTGAAACTCTTCTCAAGATACCTAATATCGAAAAATAAAGAAGTATATAAAGAAGTATATAATTTTCTTGTGCCTTTTGCAAAAACATGTATGTATATATATATATATATATATATTGTGTGGTATCCTTTTATTTAAAAAAAATCACATATACAAATCTATTATTTATAGAAATTTTTATCAACAATTAATTGTTAAAAAAAATAATTTAATGCAAAGAATACTGCTAAAAGTGAACGTTAATTAATTATCTTTTATTGCAACTGTTTACTCAGACAGCACAAATTCTTAAAAGATGACTAAAATACAACTTACAGATGTCTTATTGTCTTTTAGACATCTTTAAAATATTTTTTGGCTTTTGTATGCGTCTGGATAGAAAGATGTTTTATTTCTTTTTTCTTACGATCGATGGGAATATAATTAAAAATGAGATTTACAAAATGACGAATATTATAATGCAAAACATAAGTACGAACCGTCAATTTTATGATTTTGTTAGAAGCATCATTACAACGTCTTTTTTTTCTTTGGGAAGAAAGAAAATTTTACATGTCAATTTTTAGAAATATTCTGGAAATTTTACTAAGTTCATTGAAGGCATTTGAGCTATGAAAAATGAGACATAAAAGAAAGCAGAGCAATATTGTTTATTATAATAAATGATCAACAATATACAAATGAGTTGATTATTGTTGAATTAAATTAAAGTTTATTTGTCTTAAAAATAAAAAAAATATCTCTAATTCTCTTAATGTGGCTTTAGATAAGATCAATAAAGCAAATAATATGTATTGTTATAAGGAATGTGTGTGGTGACTATAAGGAAGGTATATGGTTAGCGGCAATATAAAGGTGCTTGAAAAGAACATGAAAGTGTTCGACAGTATCATTAAAAAATCATTTTTTTTTTTTTTTTTTTTTTTTTTTTTTGAAGGAACCATTATTTGAAAGCACATAAGTATCGACTAAATAACACAATCCAGCACAAATAGCAGTGAAAAACGAAATCTTAAGAAGATGTTTTTATGAACAACTGAATAGCTCTTGACAATAAACCGACAAAGATTTAAGTTGACAATACGATTTTTAACGGTCAAAGTTAATATCTTTTATATCTTGATCTTGCATAGTGTAAAGGTTGCATATTTTACAAGACCGCATAATGTAGAGGTTTTGCAGAAACTCTTTTTAATAAAATGTTAATGTACTAATAGCATATATCTTGTGCCTATGTACGACGTTGAATATAATATAAAAATTTATGCAATAGTAGAAAACCTCACAGTCGGAAAAAAAAAATTGATTATGAAACGCGAGGATCTGGAAGACATGAAAGTGGAAAATCTATTAGCCCTTTAATCTTTTATATTTTGTGCCTTGTGTGGAAGTAAATATATCGAGAAAAAAAATTATTAATTATTTTCTTTTCTGTTCCCTATGTTATCCAAATTGCTCTCTTACATTATTCGATATAAATATAAATAATTATTCATCTTGTTATCGACTATATTTGACATTAATTTAATTGATTTTAGCTGACAGCCACAATCTTTGTGTAAAATTTTATTTGTTAGCAAAATATATTTAGATTCTATATTTTTATATTTCATATATTTAGATTCTATATTTTTGATTCATTTTTCTTTTTTCTGGAGGAGACAAGCTTTGTTAAAGAGTTAAAAATTAATTTTAGAAATTATCTAAATTGCACTGCCTAATTGCAATTATATGACATGATTCATTATCGTTTTTTTAATCTTCATTTAATTCTCCCTGTCCCCTTTTACATAATGTATATATCATCTATTATTATAATAAATAATTTATATATATTATCGCTGTAAATAGCATAATATACACGTTGACAAAAATGGACTTACATTAAACCTGCAATGATTTACACCTAACCTCAGGTAGTCGAGTGACTTCTACCCAAAGTAGGTAAAAAGTTAAAAAAAGATACCGTAAAAGCACGGGATTCTTTGTTTACGGAAGGAAGCGGATATAAATGCAACGCGCAGTAGTCCACAGTGTTTCCGATGCCGCATATTAAGTTATTTGTCTGAGAGAACCCTTATTTTTACCTATTTCTAGCCGCAGAATGTAGCACAAAACAAAATTTTACTTTACGTAAGCGGCAGGTAGACAGGTAAGTAATTGGGAAAAAATAAAGTTTGTTTCTCACAGAGAGCACGCTCTGTGTCTAATCGCACAATACGATCGGATTCTGCACAGGTTCGTTTGGTTCACCATTTTCGAAGAAGGCTACTTGTCACACTTCTTCAGCGGTGAGGACCCACATCGCTTAATGTTACAAAACTCAATCGAAAATGAAGGAATTCGATTCGAAACACCATTCTTTTCCTCCTTTCTTCCTCTTTTTCTTTAACATTCTATACGCCAGAGCCTAACCGGCTAAACTGGACATGGGGCTGGGAAGCTGAGGGAATTCTCTTCACTTTTACCGCAAAGAGTGAATAGAAGTGTGAACTATGTGCGCGCGTACATCGTTTCTGTTACACGCGTACTTTTAAACAGCCGGAGCTGTGCAAGAACTCCGTCTCGTTAATTTACGTACACGCTCTATATGAGGCGCTTGGTTTATTTCATCGCTCGTCTTGAAAAATGGAAAGAAGATATAATTGTAAATTCCATGATTTGATTCTAAAAACAATATCAAACATATTAAGCTAATCTTTTTATGTAATTTTATAATATTGAAAGTCTTTTTGTAGCAAGAATATATTTTACATTTGACATATATAATTCCTTGATATAGTCTTTTATAAAAAATTTATATTTTGCACAATACACAAAAATCTAATGTTGCAAATATTGATGTAAACTTATATAATATCAATGTAGATTTTTGTATTGTATTATATCTCTTTTGGTAATATTAATTAAAAATATAAATTTAGCTTAAAATGTGATCATTAAATATTAAATTTCTATTGATACTTCATCGATAACATGGAACATTCAACATAAGTTTAAAAATTTATCTTTACATCAAGACACTGTGATGTCAATATATTTTATATTATATTTATTCGAAATTTATCTAAAAAAAAAAACTTACGTTATTATTAATAAACTTAAATTAAATGATACAAAAATATGATATATATTATATGAGTTTACGTTTTGTGCCAAGCATATAGTTGCGGATCTTAATAACGATACAACGCTGCGTAATTCTGATTCCTCATAGCTTCTTTAGTTGTTTTGCTTTCTCTTTCGGAACCGGCATGCTCTAATTCGTTCGAAGCCGTCCATCCATCTATAGATAGTTCTTGCCATTGATTTGAGACTCTTTGATGCTTTTCTGAATCTTGACTTTTTCCATTTTTCGAATTAGAAATGAATTGAAATAACAATTGTAAATTACAAAATAAAAAAAAAATATATATAATGAAGCCCACTTGATTCCATAACGGGGATTTTATATCTTTGCAAATAAATTATGATATATTATATTCTCCGTAAATAGAATTTTATGTATGCGTATATATATATGTATATAAAAAATAGTTATATTATATATTATATAAATCAACGAAAAATATATTTTACGTTAAACATCAATATATAATTTGTGATATAACTCTCGTAAAATTAACTAAATTGTTTGTATTGTAATGCTACAAGAATTTTATTCACTATATAATTAGTGCAATGCTTCAAGATAAATATAAACAAAATTTGCAAATTTGAGTAGATAAAAATATAAATTACTTTCTTTGCGATTCACAATTTGTACGTTTTGGAAATGTAATATTAGCAATATTGGCATTATAAATATTTCGCGAAAAAACGTCTACGAATAATATCTTTTAATTTCTTTAAGCAAAGACGGCTCCGTTATTTCATTTATCTCCACAAATCTTTTATTGGCTCGGCTGAAATAATAAATATCCCCGGTATAAATATCGAACCACAGCGCGTGGATGTGCAAATCGTGTCTCTCTAAACGTTTCTTCAAGAACCCGTACGACGCGATATTTTGAAGTTGTTGCAACGTATTGATCTGCAACAAGATAAATTTAGAATAACAAAGTTAATATAAATTCTTTTCACGCGCAAACACCTTTTTCGCGACAACTAACTTGCGACAACTTGTCCTCGATAGTGAATTTATCTTCCGGATCGATGTAAGCGACGAATTTTCGCAGTGGTGTCTCAGCCTGAAAAATGATCGGCTCGTGGAAACCGGTAACTTCGAGATGTTGAAATTTGGTCAAACTGCTACTAGCATGCGCGCACAGCCACGCTCTTAACGGAGATATTCTTCTATTCGTCTAAAAATTTTGGATGGCATTACGATTTTGCGCGTAAACACTAAAGGACTTTCGTGTCTCATTATTGTAAACGTGATTATTTTATATAAAAAAAAAATATATATAGGACTAGCTAAGAAACGCACTTTTGACGCAAATTCCTCATCCCTCAAAGCGTAGAGCAAATTCATTGCCTTACAATCACTATGACCGCAAACAATAACGTGCCTTATATCGTTTACCACGCAACCAAGTTCCAGTGCCGCCGATTCGCACATAGTGAATTCGTCCATGAAATGTTGCGAGTGTGGAACAACATTACCGGGATTTCGAACTGAAAAGGAAAACTTTGTTAAGCCATCTGATTTTATTTTCGACTCTCCACGTTGCTCCCATGAATTGAGAAATTCAGAAGCCACATGTATCCAGTGAATCAAAAATATTTCAGGAAATACAAAAAAATACTTTTAAATATACGTTATATTAAAAGAGCATTTTTATGATCTCTTGTTTAGTTTATATGTATAAAATAACAAAAAATAACATATATATAAAAAACAAAATATTAATTCATATATACATACATATAATATTTAATTTAATATATATATATATATATATATGTAAGATATTAATCTGGATATATATGGTATTCCCATGATTTTTCTCTATCCAAACAAAATATTTGGACCAATAAAAATATATTAATATATAATTGAAATTATATCGAATATCGTACACATCTCGTTAGAGAAATCTTTGTCTTAAGAAGCATCGTATTAGAGGAAAAAAATACACTGCGCTCAAATCGAAAAAGATAAAAATGAACCAACAGCGATAACACGTGCGAGCGATCGAGATAATGCTATATAATAGATTGTCGTACCGACAAACATGTCCCCAACGTTTGTTTCCGTAAATCTAGTTGGGATCATCCGAGAGTCCATGCAGGTAAAGAACACTGCTTTCGGCTAAAGATAAAAGCAACAATATACATCAGATTGTGATCTTTTGTTATAATTATAACTGTAGCTTGCAAATAGAGTGGAAGGTCTTTCGGTTAAATCTTTCGTCATTTCAATTCCTTTGTTGACTTTTACCGTTAAATATTTGAAAGGGTTCAAAATTTACATAATGAGGCTGTAACATTTCTTCTCATAAATTTTTTACATTATTTTTCCTTGAATAAAATTATTGATATCCTTAAGAGAGAGAGAGAGAGAGAGAGAAAGAAAGAGAGAGAGAGAGTGAGAGAAATCATAATATAAGATCGTAAAATAA